CTAACTTGACAAAGAGTGTGGAATAAGTCCTCAGAGTGCTGCAGAGACTAACCAAAGTCCGTATAGAAATATCCAGGTTATTTATCTCACAGCAGTTTTGTAAATTGAACGTTTTGGTATGAAGGACAGCATCCCACTTGCAATAAAATAAACAGTTTCTAAGACACCCACATTAACCAAGGTCTCTGCTGGAACTTATCCTTGAATATATTGTTGTCTTCAGTGGAGCTGTACACAGAGCACACAGTTAAGCATATCTGCAATTCCAGACTTTGAAAATTCACTGATACAAAGTTGTAACTGCACAGACCTGTTGGCAGGATACGATTCCAGTTTTGACCTGAAAACTGTGATTTTAGCTGTTAGTTTTCTCAGGAAAAAAAGAAAAAAGAAAAAAAAAAAAAAAGATTGCTTATTGTTTCATTATTCAGCAGATCTCCACCTTGTCTTTCCAGCAGTCTGTTTCTTTGGTCTGGAATAAATAAGCAGAGCACTTTTCAGAAACATACTATTTTATCTAACTTTGTTTCCAGTGATGGGAGGTGAATTTTAGCACTGACTTCACCATAACCAGAATTAAGCTAACGCTGAATATATTCCAAAATCCAGCTGAGGACCTGCTAACATTACTGAGTTCTCAGGTAGCTACTGAGGCAATAGCAGTGCCCAACAGACAATATTCACTGATTTCTGTCATTTAAGTCCGTCCTTGCCCAAGTGATTTTCCTTTCAGAAGTCAAAGCAGACAGATTGCCTACAAATGAAATAAATTGAGTTTCCTATCCTTTGGAGAAAAAAAAAGAAAAAAAGATTAAAAGAAATACATTACATAGAAATTCAGTTGGAAGCCTATTCTAAATTTCAGCTTCTCCACACAATTTTAGTTCCAGCGTTATATTGTTTTTTGTTGAATTCTGTAACCAGCTTGATTATGAAGTTTTCTCTTTATGGGTGGTAAGTTAAAATAACTGGAGTCAATGTCAGTGGAATTTCGGTTTGTCACCACATGGTACAAAAATATTGTGTTTTTTCCAAAGAACAGAAAATTCAGTTCAAAGTTTCATGAATAAATGCCATGAACATCTTATCAGTAAAACAGTGAAGGTTACTAGCCAGCAGCTTCCAACTTTATAGTTCTAAAATCATGGCATCTACAAATCTTTTTTAGAATCCGTGTCTGTAGATCTTAAAGAAGTAAAAAATTCTTAAATTTCCTGTAAAACAATGCCTTACTTTTTGAGGCAAATATATTGACAAGCTGGTATCTTTTTGTTCTCCTGATTTTATACTGAGTTCAGGTAATCACGTTTTTAATGGAGGCTCTTTTTCAGAAACTCTTCTAGTTCACATCTAGCTACTGCATGAAAGTAGTTCGGTCTTGCAGGTCTGATTCACGTTACTTTAGTCTTGATTGACTCCATTTCATGCATTTGTCACTGTTAGACAAAATGGGACCTGCAGAATCAGAAACTGACTTAATTTTGCATTAATGGGAATAACACTGAACATCCTAAATATTCATGATGACTAGAAGCAAAAGCACCACTGATAAAGATGGATCCTGTATTTTCCACATGCAGGACTTTCACCTAAGCTCTGCTTCCTCACGTGTATCCACCTTCTGTTCATACTGTTTTCCTTTTTTCACACATTTTCTCACAGACAATGCAAGGAACACAAGGGTTGGTCTTTTTAACACACACTGAACTCTGTACATGTGCCAATAATGTAACGAATGATTAGTGACACTTTCAATCTTTTCAAGTTTCTAGATTTAAGTTTGTTTGAGATTTAAGTTTATTTGAGAGGTTAAATTAAGTGTCTGCCCCTCCACTTCCTTTTATGAGGTGCTGTAGGCATCCATGAGGTCTCACCCAGTGTCCTCTTCTCTGGGCTGAACAAAGCCAGAGGGGCATGCGGGAAGGCAGGGCCTGGGCTTGTAGGATTTCTAGCTATGGAGCATCCAGCCAAGTGACCCATGAGCATCAATGTTCTGGAATGAACAGCCACAACAAAGTATGCAGGTTCCCTTGAAGAAGGCTGGGAACACTGAAGATCTTTCCCTGCTGACAACAATGAGCATACAATGCTTGATCCTGCAGCAGGACATTGGAGGTTATAAAACTCAAGTTTTTGTTAGGCTCTCAACATTCTCAAACTTGCTGTTCTTACACCAGGATCTGAGTGCTAGGCCTTGTCTCATCACTTGGCTCTCCACTCTGCCAATAGGATCTATGAGAAATTTGTTTCAACACAGAATTTGCAAAGCTTCCAAGTTCCTTACCTGGGGAGCCAGGAATCTGGCAGCGAAGGCTGGCATGGAAAATACTTTTTTAGACATAGGAGGCGATATAGCACATAAATTAGGCAATTTGACTGACTGTTTATAAGCAAGGGCCAAGAAATCAACTTATTGCCATCAGGGACACAAGATAGGATTCTTTCGGATAAAAAGTCACGAGTCTCTTTGTAGTCAGATTAGCTAAGGTGCCTTGAGACACCCAAAGCTTGGCAAGATGGATCTTATTTTGTTTGCAGTTCCCATACTCACGGAGATAAGTCAGAAACATAAGTTCACTTTATCTGGCTTAGAAGCCAGATAATTTAATTATGAATTAATTCTTATACTTCGATCTCATGAAATATTTTGAGACCCGTAGATAGATTATAAATATGCTTGATCAGCAATATTGAACTACTGTTGATAGTAGCCATTTGAACAGAAAGCAAATGTCAAGGACTCAGCGTGGGGCTGGAGGGCAGCGTAGAGGAATGGCCTAGCGAGTATAGCCGCTGGCTAATTGATCCAAAGACAACACTAAAAGCTTCATGTGCAAAGAGTTTGTTAATATTTCTTATCAGAACTTGAGAAGGATTCTCAGGTTAGCATTCAAATTTGACAAACAAAACCAGCCAGCTATTGAGCCTTTGCAAAGCAGATATATCTGTTACCTCTTTTTAATTCTTCCACATCAGTATCTGGACCAATCCATCTGCTGCTTTTTTAAGAGAACCATGTGAACCATACAGATCTATGTTCAGCTTAATCACTTTTTTTTTTTAATCTCAGATGACATTCTTTGACTCTTGGAATGTAGTGATGCACCTCTCTTTTAAAATCATGCCTTCCTAAAGTCTCTCAAATTAAGTACTCCATATCACCATCTTTCTGTTTTGAAAACTTTTAGCCAGAGTTTGCAAGCATTACTGTAGAGAAAACAAACAAAAAAAGAACCATTCTCTTCTAAGAGATCATTATGTGCTGGTGATATCTGTGAGGGTTTAATTCACATTTAATAGAGTACCTGGAACTGCAAGCTGGAGATCACCTACTAAGTGTGGTCTGTTTGAATGCTGCTTCAGAAGTTTTTAGCTGTTAAAAGTGATTGATTTTTTGAAATACAGAAATACACATGCTCAGGTTTGGCTAATTAAACTTTGCTTCTAGGGCTAAGACAAAAATGTTGAAATATTTTGCTGTTTTTGGATTAACCTGTGGGGACACAAAGCTTCATGTCAAGTTTGTGATGATGGATGAATTTATTATAACAGAATAATTCACATCCAGGAACAGATTATCTTCTTATATCAGTGAGTAGATGAAAACATCAGATTTCAAAATGTTTTAACCACACTACTTGAAAAAATAGAACAACCCTAGTGCTAGCTGTAGCAGGCTTGCTTGGCAGGCTGCAGAGCTCCAGACCCTGTTTCTTCCTGTTCATCTTTACCTTCTGTTCTCAGAACTTCAGAGTTCCCTGCTGATATGTCAGGGAGTGAGCCCTACCTCTATGCAGATACTGGCTTTGAGGAAATTGAAAACTTGCATTCTGATACGAGTGCTGAAAAAAGCAATGTCCTCGGTTACAACTGTTATAGGGTTTGGTGTAGTACATATGGGACAGAAAGGATCCTTTTCTGCAAATCCGTTTGTCTCCTGTGGGCAGTAATTCCTCCAATTCCTCCAATGGAGAGGACCTACAGAGGGTTCTGTAAACTTCTATTATCCTGTTAAAGTACTTGTTCAGGCCCTGACTCTTAGCTGAAGACATTGCTAAGGCAATAGGGGGTACCTGAGGAGGAAATTGCCATTGCTCCTCCAATGCTTCTTTTAAAATATCTTTTTTTTCAGTTTTCAATGTTGTTACATTTAGGAATTGCTTACTAGGAAATAGAGGAGAGAATAAGAATGCTTACAATTCATCTCAAAGAGATAAAATTATAACTTTCCAAGCAACAAGTAAACGCTTAAATTCCAGAGACCCTAACAGAAAAATAAACAGCACAAGTCCAGAGAACAATGGCAGCACTAAGACAAATTTCTATGGAAATGGACACGAAAGAGAAAACATTTGTCAGCTCTGCAGTTTTTAAGGCCAAAATGGGAAAACTGTAAGTTTACTGTGAAATTAAAGAAAAAAAAAAAGGAAAAAGTCAGAATGTTTGCACTGCTGAAGGGCAGAGGCACTCAGAGGTGCAGTAACTCAGGAATTTGGGTGTCAGCTGCAGACTTGGGCAGTCCTCACACAAGCACAGAAGTTTGGCAGTTCAACAGCTCCTTAGACATGAAGTATTTTTTTTCAAGTCTTCAAGAGTTTGAAGGTGGGAGCAAAGACAGTGGCTTCCAGAATCATTTGTTCATTTTGAAAATGCTTTTCTTCTGATTTTATAAAATACGTCTGTTTAAACTTACAAAAAAAAAAAAAAAAAAAAAAAAATCTGTGCAGCCACAAATTTTATAAATTGGAAGTCACAGATAAACACTTTAAATGAATTCTAAACAAAAACACCCCAAACATTTCCTGCCATTTCTCAGAGGTTTTCAGTATCACTTTCATTGCTAAACCTGAAATACACCAAGTATAGAGAAGAAATACTAACAATCACTTGCCAAACAAAAGCTTTCAGCTTTGGCTCTCTACTGAACTGCATTCACTGAATGGTTCTATACCACGAAAGACCATCGCTCACTGTAGTTAACTGCATTTGGACTTTTCCAGGCACAGTGCCATCAACAACTTCCTTGAGATGGAATGGAATTTTTTCACTATTGGAAACAAGAATAGCCACAACAGAGACAGACTGCTGAAAAAGATGAACCACAGAGGCTCAAGTAGGAACTTTCAGAGTAAGTAGAGCACATCTGTTAAGATCATTAGTGAAGTGAAGTGAAGTGAAGTGAAGTGAAGTGAAGTGAAGTGAAGTGAAGTGAAGTGAAGTGAAGTGAAGTGAAGTGAAGTGAAGTGAAGATCATACGTGAAGAAGCTCACAACTAAAGGTAAGCATAAGTGGAACAGATTCACAGTTTATAAAAAATGAAAACATACTAAAAATATATTAAAATCATTAGGAAATTAAGTACATAAATGAAAATACAGTTGGAAAAAAAAAAAATCAATGCTCTGTATGCTATTGGCACTTCCACACACATCAGCTCTGCCGACTGTTTTCAAATGGCATCTTAAAGAATGCAAGCAGACAACGAGAAGATGAGGTTCTCCTGGTGTATCAGTGGGATACAAAAGAGCAAAAATACATGGGTCATGAAATTTGGAATGACAGAGGCTGAAGAGCTCAGGCAGCAGCATAGAAATTGAACACTGAGTGCCACGTAGTTTCTAGGGCAGAAGTGAATGTGCTGGATTCCAAAGGCCTCCGGTGAATTATGTAAGAGGAAGAAAAAGATTGCCACTGAGGGTTATATCATGAAACAAACAACAATCATGCCACTGCCACAATTACAGATAGTGCATCTAAGAAATTTATAAAAAATCCTGAAGCAAAAAGTTTTTCAGTTTTTCAGTACCATAAACCACTGTGCTGAGAATAATTTTTTTCCTGTATTTATTTTGTAAATAGATATGCACTTTTCTCATATAAATATATCACTGTAGTATTTTTGAGGGACCTTGTATATAGAAATGGATAAATTGATCAAGCCCATACGTCATCTATTCTGTAGACTACCTACAAATATTCACACACAAAAAAAAAAAAAAAAATCAGGAGGACAGGGAAGAAAGACTTAATTGTTAAAATTCACAGAACTTGCTAACTGATGGCTCTCACAAAACACTGAAGGCTACGTATTTATAAATTAGAACATTAGAACATTAATTTGGAAAGAACTTTACAAAGATCAAGTCCAACATCATAACTGCTTAATTAAAGCAGAATATTAAGGGGGTTATTGAAATGCTTCTTGAACACTGACAGACATGGAACATCAGTCACCTTTCTAGGAAGCCTGTTCCAGTGTTTGGCCACTCTCACAGTACAGAATTTTTTCTTAAAGTGCAGTGTGACCTTCTCCTGGCATAGTTCTGTGCTGTTCTTGTGTATCCTGTCAGTGGATACCAGGGCAAAGAGAGCAGGACCTCTGTCACTACCTCCTCTTATTAGGGAGTTGTAGAGAATAACGTCACCTGTGAGCCTTCTCTTGTGCAGACTAGTTAACCAACATATCTTCAGCTTCTTGCTGTAGGATACACCGTCCAGCCCTTCTATAGGGTCATAAAATCATTAAGTTTGGAAAAGATCTCTAAGATCACCCAGTCCAGCCATCCACCTACCACCAACATTACCCACTAAGCCATGTCTCTAAATACTACATCTACCTTCTCTTTAAAGACTCACACGGATGGTGACTACGCAACCGAACTGGGCAACCTGTCCCAATGCCTCACCACTCTTTCTGAGAAGAAATTCTTTTCATATCTAATCCGAATCTCCCCTGGCACAACTTGAGGCCGTTCCCTCATATCCTATCCTTCTACCATTGTTGCTGCCCTCCTCTGGATGCACTGAAGTATCTTACCATCCTTTGATATTGTAGAGCCCAGAACTTCACACAAAACTCAAGGTGAGGCAACATATAATAGGAGAATCACTTTTTTTTTTTTACTGTCAAAGCATCCCAAAATCTAGTTTGCCCTCATGTCTGCTAGGGCATACTGCTGACTCATTTGGGTAATTCAGGCAATTTAATGCATTATAAAGAAACCAATTAAAAATGCCAACTGTCAATAATGTCTTACCTCAAAAGGCAAAACATAACTATCCCCATATTTGATGCTAAGGCTGATACTGGCATCTGTCACTTGATAAGGAAAACAGCTATATCACTTATCTCTGAATTTCATGAGACAAATTGATAGGGATGGTAGAATGTCCTAGGGATCAAATGTAGAGCGGTTTAAAAGCAGGGTAGTCAATGAGATTCACTAACAGGACTCAAACACTTTAGAGATTAATGTTAAAACTGAGACTATTTTGGATGTAAAAACAGCACAGCAAGAAATACAGCAATTTATGAAGTCAGTCTCTTCTTCTGTTCAATAGAACAATGCAAGATGGAAGAAAATGGTGACTTCTGACTGACTGCTGCACCACATTTGATATACTTGCTAACTTGCATGCAGCTTTCTCCCAGCAAGTAAAACCAATAGATATCCCATCTAAAAGACATTAAATAAAACCTCAGTTAAAAAAATAAATCACACAGCTTCTTGCAGAAGTTGAGAACAGAGCCATAGAAGAGACACAGGTCATCTAAAAAATAAGCAAAGAGGAAGGAACTAACTTCCCCATTCTGAAATTCCACAATATTCAGCAATATGAATGAGTAAACAACTGTGAGACACATCACAGAGGTGCGGATTGGGCCACTGCTTGTAGATGTAAGGCAACCAGGAGCTTGCACATTCATCTTACTAACACCTATAGAGCAATGAACACACAACCAAGGTATCTTGCAATTATCCATAATAAGCTCCACCGGTATAATCAGGAAAGAAGCTTTTCAAAAACTACTATAAATATCAGAAAATGGTTTTTTGAAGCACCTCACACACATCATTTCATGATGTGCATGAAATAACAGTGCTAAAACTGAGATATTAAGAATTGCACAGAGCTGATTTCTCATGCAGTAGTTCTACATCATAAAGAGAAAGCTGAGAAAAATGTGTTTTTGTTTCTATGGGAAAGCATCATTTAAAGTAACTATATACCACGAACTTGAAAGAATAAGAACCTGCTCTGATCACTGAATGATCACTATTACTATAAAGTAATAGTGATTACAATTACTAAAGCAATATACTACTAAAAATGTATTATTGAGAAGATACATTCTTGAAAATATATGTTGGAACGATTACAGCCTACTCAGACCTGATCAACAAGACAGAAAACAGGCTTGCACTCACTTCTCCCAAATCTGCTTACAAGGCTTCTCAAGACCTTTAGGGCTAGCATGGTGTGAAAGAACATTTTTCCAACTTTGCAGTAGTAAATGTGTTGTTAACAGGCAATTGGGAAACCATCTAAACAAAAAGTAAGGGCTAACTTACTTAGGGGAACAAGGAGACATTAATATCCCTGTCTTGAGATGGACTTTGGATGATATAATGTCACATTATGCCATCAGGTTATTCAATTTAAGCATAAGATTGTAATATGAAAAACATACACCATCTCTAACAGTGCTCACATAAAATATTTTCAAACACACATGAAAAAAAATGTTGGTATGCTTTTCAGCATAACTGAGACGTCTCTGCTTTAGAGATGTGCTTGATGTTAGAGAATATAGGTGGGAATAACGAGGTCTGTATCTTATCTTGTCTCTGCCACTTTGAAGAAAGCACTGAATATTGAATATTCTGGCTACTCTTTTCCGTGTCCTGAATTCTGGCATGAAGTTCAGTTTTGTAAGAACTGTTCTGGTGTTGATTTGTGCTGGCAGATTTGTGCTCTTGAATCTGTTTCAGCAGAGGACTACAAATATAAGCCATTAATAAGTCACAATAGCAAACTAAACTTATTGGAATTAGGTGTTTGACTTATGAAGGTGTAGTTAGTCTATGGATAGTAATTCTTGTTGATTCAAACACGCTTATTTTAATGAGAGATAACTCTGGAAAGCTGAAAGTGAGTGACTGATCACCCAGAATGAATGGCCTAATGTGAAAACAAAGATGTGCCCAAAATATAGGACATATATTCCCTATGTGGAATACTGTTTGCAGGTCTCTGCCTATTCTGCTACAGTAATCAAATCCATTCAGTGTTTATGTTTGCTTGCTGGACAGGTATTCTTGCTCACTTTGTATCTATGAGTCCATCTCTGTTCAAATAAAAGGCATATATCTGTTTCAGCTGTTTGACTTGTTTTACATGGGAGCCAAACATCAGTGATAAGAATAGCAAACATAATGCACCAGAGCAGGAAAAGACTGGTAGCTGATCCCATGTCCCAGACTACAGACACTTATTGAGAAATTTACTGATAATTAAAGTTATTTTAAAAATGAGTTACTGCCCAATGGAAAAAAAAACACAACTTGCTAAGCTATATGTCCATCAGCACAGCAATGGTAGAAGGAGACAGCAACACCTTTTTCAGTATTATCATAAATCATTAAAAGTGAAGAAGACTTCCATGATCATCCAGTCCAGTTGTCGACCCATCCCCTCTATACCTGCTGACACATGTCCCTCAGTGCCACATCTCCATGTTTCTTGACACTTCCAGGCACGGTGACACTACCACTCCTTGAGCAGCCCATTCCAATGCATCACCATTCTGAGAAGAAATTGTTCCTAATATCCAACATGAATTTCTCCTGGTGCAATTTGAGGCCATTCCTTCTCATCCCATCACTGTTACCTGGAAAAAGAGGCTGACCTCCACCTTGCAACAACCTCCTTTCTGAGAGCTGTAAAGAGTCATAGGGTCTCCCCGAGCCTCCTCTTCTCCAGACTGAACAACCCCAGCTCCCTCAGCCACTCCTCGTAAGACTTATTCTCCAGATCCTTCACAGCTCCTTCTCTGGACACGCTCCAGGGCCTCAATGTTTTTCTTGTAGTGAGGGGCACAAAACTGAATGCAGTACTCGAGGTGCAGCCTCACCAGGGCCCAGTGCTGAGGGATGATCACCTCCCTGCTCCTGCTGACTACACTATTTTTGACACAAGCACGATGCTTTTGGCCTTCTTGGCCACCTAGGCACATTGCTGGCTCATGTTCAGCCGGCTGTCAACCAACATCCACAGATCCTCTTCCTCTGAAATAACCACACCACAACATGCTGATAGGTTGAAGTGATACTATATACTTTGGCAAAAAGCTATTCTTCATTTTGAGAAAGAAGAAAAATAAACGCGAGTTGGCTGCTCGCCTTTGTATTATTACTATGGAGGTTAAAAGACAAAAGCAAGGAAGAAAACCTAGTCCGAAACAGCTGTGGTTATTGACAGTAGATGTAGTTTTGGCACACGGACATCTTGAGATTTGGCTTATAGCTCAGTGTCCATTCACACAAAAAACTTCTGGTCTTGAACAACAAATTAAAACCAACAAATGAAAAAATAAAGCTGAGGGAATTAGGAGGTTTGAACAATCACTTTGCTAAGGACTTATGTCCTAGAAGTGCTCCAGCAGTTGTTCTTACAATGATATATCAAGTTTGTTACTCTAAAAACGTAATTTTAGCACATTATGATTTAGATATATGTAGTTTTTACTAGTAATATTAGTCCCAATGAAGGTTTTATTTTAAGCTTCATGGTTCAGAATGTCCAAAAGAACTACTGATGTTCATGGCATCTCTTCATCCCTAGTGATCATGTTGTATTCAGCATAAAATAGCTGATAGCACAAAATGAAGCCTGTCCACATGCAGACATGAGTTGCTTAAGTAGGTATCCCTAATGAAGTTACCTACTTTGTATCTAGCCGTTCACTTTAAATATTTCTATGATACCATGTAGTGTAAAGAGGCGTGTCCTCTGTTCCACATCAATTAAATTTCAAATAATTGTCCTTATGTCTCCTAAACTGAACACCACTAACACATAGTCCCCACATAGTAATACCTGTTGCTAGCTGTAGTTTACATAAAAATGTGCATGTTCTCTTAATGTATGTGCAAATGCATCCATCTTAAAATGCAATTTATATGTTCCTTTCTGTAATACTAGGACAGCTTTGTTGGAAGTTTACTTGGAGCAATACTGGAAGAATTGAGCAACAAAAAGCTCCGTATAATACTTAATACTGCTAAACAAACATCAGCATGGGTGTTCAAATCTCTTTTTCAGCAGTAATATGAAATGTTGGCATGAAGCACAGGACAGACAACAGAAGATATCTAGAAATAAACATGGACCCTGTATTACAAACTTACATATTAACTCCAGGGGGACAGTACTGTTCTTGCTAACACTGCACAATGCTGCAGGGGAAAATTCCAGGTAGCTCTCAAGATGCAACAGACCTTTGTCTGGCAAAGTGCAAAGTTTTGCACTTGGGCTGGAGGAATCCCAGGCATCCATACAGACTGGAAGGAGCGGTCCTTGAGAGCAGCCCTGCAGAGAAGGACCGGGGGTTCTTGATAGATGAAAAACTTCACATGAGCCAGCAGTGTGCCCTTGCAGCTTGGAAAGCAAATGGTATCCTGGGCTCCATCAGAAGAGGGGTGGCCAGCAGGGACAGGGAGGTGATTGTCCCCATCTGCTCTGCTCTTGTGAGGCCCCATCTGGAGTACTGTGTGCAGGTCTGGAGCCCCCAGTACAAGAAAGACAGGGAGCTGTTGGAGAGGGTCCAGAGGGGAGCCACAAAGATGATCAGGGGACTGGAGCACCTCCCCAACAAAGACAGGCTGAGGGAGCTGGGCTTGTTCAGCCTGGAGAAAAGAAGGCTGTGGGGTGACCTCATTGCAGCCTTTCAGTACATAAAGGGAGCCTACAAACAGGAGGGGAATCAACTCTTTGAAAGGGTAGATAACTGCAGGACAAGGGGAAATGGTTTGAAGTTGAGGGAGGGAAGACTTAGGTTGGATGTCAGGGGGCAGTTCTTTACAGAGAGAGTGGTGAGGTGCTGGAGCAGGCTGCCCAGAGAGGTTGTGGATGCCCCATCCCTGGAGGTGTTCAAGGCCAGGCTGGATGGGGCCTTGGGAAACCTGGTCTAGCATTAAATGGGGAGGCTGGTGGCCCTGCCTGTGGCAGGGGGGTTGGAGATTCATGATCCTTGAGCCATTCTGTGATTCTGTGATTCTTTGTGTGCTAAATTTCATTGTAACAGAAAAAACTTTAGTCTCCAGTCTGTAGCTGTCATTTTCTTCAGACTGCTTTGATACAGCCTTTGAACATTTCAAGAGGATGAGTTGTCACTACCACATTTTTTCATTGCTATGACCTAAGCAGTGTTCCAGTCTGGATGCATTTTACATTTATACTTTAGGATTATTAACAATACACCTAATTATTTGTTTATATCTCACTGAACATTCTCTTAGGATTTGAAAGGAAAGACAGGTTCAAGTCTCAGGTTGATCAGGCTCATGTTTGTAATGTAGCAGTTATTTTCTATTTCTACACTGGCTTTTTTGGTTCAGAAAATACTTGGTGGATTGCTGAGGCAGCTCCTTCCATTCATTTTACTTGAGCTCTTGGATAAGTATGGTTAACCTTATTTATTCATCATTCTACCTCTCACTATTAGTTTTCACTAGTAGTTTTCAGCCAGTCTGAAGGGTTACAGGTTAACAGAGAAGATGCACATTTTAGTAAGGTCTTGTTCTTTTACAAGAAAATATGGTCAGTAAAATCAATTACAGACTCTTTCCTTGGATTTTAATAGAGTAAAGCACCACAGTTCCTACAGTTCCAAAAGGTCCGGACTGACAGAATTTCCATTATCCTCCAGGAGGCTGGGATTTTTTCTATAACCACCTGAAAATAATCCCAATTTCTGACATGCTGACAAGCCTGGTCTGCTTTTCTGCTAACCTGGTTTTCCACTACTATCCTCTTCAAGATCAACTTTAATTCCTAGTTGCAGAGTTGGAAAAGAGAAAAGTAGAGGCATCCAATTTTTATGTGGTTATTCATGGAAAACAGACCAGTCTTTTTAACAGTAAAATGCATTGTATTGACATTTTTCTTACTAAAATTACTTGAAAATATTTTATGCCTAGGCACATCATTCAATTCAAAAATTCAAGATCAGAAACAAAATAATTTTTTTTGCTTTTGCAAAACTTCCAGAAAACTGAAAATTCACACAACTCTCAGCTGGAATAATACAGCGTTGTGAAGAAAAAAAAATAGAGTGAAAGACTTGAGTAGGAAGTACAAGACCTTGCCCAGAGGTAGCAGGTTACTAGCTAGCAGAAGCAGCGAGTTGCGAGGCAGATGATGACCCCTCTGACTACACACTGAGAATAAGCATGGGCATTGAAACCTAACCACCAATGGGAGAAACTTATTAAAAGCAACACCCTTCTTTTCACTGACACTTTGCAAGCTAGAGCAGAGGGCAGCAGCAGGAGAGCTCCTGGAATAGCCAGTCTGGAAATCCATTCACTTTGCAGTCTCTTAGAGAAGCCGCTCAAGTTCTGCAATTCCCTCTTCCCCTCAACTTCCAGTAGTCCCCATTTGGGGAATCCTGAAGATTAAGATTTATAATTGCTAAAACATCTTGTAGGGTTTTGTTTCCGCTTCTGCAACATTCTTGCATTAACACAGTTTTAAGGCTCTGCAGTCTCTTCTCTGTCTTAATCTACCTGCCCAAACATTGTCTGCACTGGAAGCATATATTCATATTCACGTATATTTTGAAAAGCATTTTACTGAACTAGTGCAATTAACATTGAAGTTGTATGGGACAGGAGCAGTAAAATCAGAAAAATGAGAGGAGATGATGGAAAGAAAATTTGGAAAGAAGGAAGGACAACAAGTAGTCATTGCCAGAAACTAAATAAGCCTATCCATTTCAACACTGTATTTGATGTGAAGTTACTAAGTGTTTAAATTTTAAGTTCATAGAAGGGAATACTATCTACCCAGAGCATTTTTAGCATATGTATAGACAGGACAACTACTGTTGTAGATCATATCTTTGCTGCATTTGATAGTGACAAAAATAAGGGACTTCATCATATAGCATGATATTATCTCAGTGAAATTTCTAACTGTAATTAAAATGAATGAAATAGAAGAACACAGTTTACCCTCAACTTCAGGAGAGTGAACTTATATCTGCTAAAGGAGTTGTTGGATGAGATCTCCTGGGAAGCTGTTCTTAGGGGCACAGGAATAGAACAGAGCTGGTAACTTTTCTAGAACACCCTTTTGAGAGCACAAGTGGTCTCCATCCCCCAGCAGAATAAATCAAGCAGAAGATGCAGGATACCACCATGGCTGAGCAAGTCAGACTGAGGGAAAAAAAGGAAAAGTATGAGCAGTGGAAGTGTGGTTGGGTAGCCCGGGAAGAAAATACAGATGGACATGCAGAGAAGGGATCAGGAATGCCAAGGCACAGATGAAACTAAACTTGATGAGGGATGTGAAAAATAACAAGAAGGAATTCTATCAGTACACTGAACAGAAGAGACAGGCAAAGGAGAGTGTACCTCCTCTCATAAAAGAGAAGGGAGAACTGGCTTCAACAGACATGGAGAAGGCTGCAGTAATCAGGGAGTTTTTCACCTCAGTCTTCACTAACAGTTGGGCTTCCCACGCCTGCTGTGTCCCTGAACCTCTGGGCAGAGGTCAGGAAAGCAAAATCCCTCCCACTGCAAGAGGAGAGCAGGTTCAAAACAGCCTCATGAGGCTGTGTAAAAATCTATGGGCTGGACAACATGCATCCCAGGGTCCTGAAGGAACCAGGCCAGTTTCCATCATATTTGAAAAAATCATGGCTGTCAGGATAAGTCCCCACTGACTGGAAAAAGGGAAGCATCACTCTCACTTTTAAGATAGGGTGAAAGGAAGATTCCAGGAACCAGTGGCCGGTGAGCCTCACTGTGCCTGGGAAGATCATGGAGTTGACCCTCCAGAGGAAATTTTTTCAGCTCTTAAATAATTGCCAACAACAGCTGAAAATACTTCTCTACATTCTGTATTAAAGATGGTCTAACAAAGAAACTTAGAGACTGACTGAAATGTTAGCAGGCAGCTATTGGTTTCTGCCTGCTCAAACTATTCACTGTAAATTATATATAGTTCAGCTCTGTTCTATGCTCTTTCCCAGCACCCTGTTAAAAAAACAAAAAAGTATTGAAATGGGCTGTTTATATTATTTTCTCCTGCAGAAATGTATCACTTTGCACTCAGTAAGGATCCAGTCTTACACTTCATATTTCTTCAAAGCCTTTCATTAAATATTCTGCAAAAGTATTTTACATTTTATACCATGCCCAGGGACTTAGGGAAAACTTCACAGTTCTACCTGTGTCTGATCTTCTAAATTACTGATTAATCAATATAAACCTCATAAAAAGGAGACCAGAGCATAACAAAGAGAATACTCTTGGAATTATGTCAGTGTAAATGAGACTTCATTACAAAAAATATTAAGTATCAGCAATGTGCAAATGTTTACATATCTATTTGGCAGTTTTTTCGTGTCCTGATGAATATCACTACCCTCAGGAAACCAGAATGAAAGCTATCAAATCAAGTGCTCAAATCATCTTTTTTGGTGTCGAGCAGCCTTCCTTTTGGATGTTCCTTAAGCCTATGTTGAGAAACTTGGGATGAGATGAGGTCTTACATAATATAAAAGCACCTTTTTCAGTTTACTTGATACTGCTCTGTTGTGTGAATGAAATTGTTCCACCCTGGTCCTACATGTATTGTGAGATTCAGATACGTTGCTGTCACACTCTTACCTTCTCTAAGAATTCAGAGGTCAATTAAAATTGGAGATGCTGTGTATCTGTACCTTTGTGCTGATCGTTATATTTTACCAATATATAATTTTTTATATAAAATTAAAGACTAGATTCACTTGTGTTCCTTGTACCATTCCAAGGTGAGGAGCACAGTATATACCCTTCTTAAACATTTATCTCTGTCCCTGAAGGATTGACAGCATGTAGAAACTATCCTAAGTAAGCTGCTATCTCATCTTTGTAAGGGGATTTAAAACTAAAATTCTCTGATTTGAGCGAGTATGCAAACTCAGCCCTAACTGGGTGAATTATTACTGTACAACACAAACCTGCTGTGCTTTTGAACAAATAGTAGCAAAAAAAGAAGCACAGCTATAGGGTTAGACGATGACATTTTAGTGCGATGCCTTGAACTCCTTGTTTGTAATTTGATAAGGAAATTTACGCAAAACTTTATCTGTTTGGATGCTGGAAGGTCCTTTTGAGGACCTTTTCAGGACAAAAAGGTCCAGAGGAAAACATAATAAACAAATAATATCAAATTCATTTTTGGCAAGGACACTCCAAGTTTTGTAATCTTCAGGCCAAATGGAAATCTACAGTTGCCAGCTCTACGGTTAATATTTTACAGAAGCAGTCAGTAAAAGGTATATAAGAAAATGATTTCCCTTCAATCATCCTAGCATTTTGAATAATTTAGCCTGCATCATAATCTGCAGCCATGAAGTGGGTAACATTAATTTCATTCATTTTCCTCTTCAGTTCAGCAACATCCAGGAATCTGCAAAGAGTTGCTCGTGACGCAGGTAAGAAAACACTAATTAACTGCCCTTATTTTCTTTGTTATACTGACTTAATGACTTTGATGCAATTTGATGAAAAGACTGGCTTGAAAATAAGCTGTATGAGGAAATCTTGAGGGGTAGGTAGAACACTCTGGACAATTACATAATAGAGTAAGTTTTGTGATGTGTCTCTTTGTGTTGCAAAGTGAATTATATGATCAGATGTTGATCATTCACATCCTGTTATTTTCCAGCACCGAGCAAGTAGATGTGCAGATCTTTTTGAATGACCGTATGTAATTGAGCTCCTCACCAATGTCAGTTCATGGTTTTCACGCAAATAGGTCAAAAATTTAAAAATCTGCATCTCTGTCTCGGCTGAAAGGAAGCCTAGCTAAAAACCTACTGTGTTGTTTTCCCCCATGCTATTAAATTTTATGGCTTAGCCAAACAAGAGTTTCTGTAGGCAGACCTAGAAAATTTTTCACTAGTATTTTTAATTTTAGTTTGAAACATGAAAATACACAAGTTTAACAAAACTGAGTTTTCAGGAACTGGTTAAAAATACCAGTGAACAGCAACTGATGCACATTACACTTTTTAGCACTGAAATCCTTATTATCAAATCAGGTCTACTGACAATTCTTCATTTTTGAAAACATTTTCCTTTAGTTCAGGTAAAGGAATTCTTCCTCATGTTTTTTTAAGTGCTTCTGAATGGCATTTCTAGAACAAATGACTGTCCTGTTTTAGTAGCTCAGTCATTACTGTGGCCATCTGCCTCAGTTTGTTTTTGGAAAGCCTTCTTAACTGTGAGCAAGGTATAACCACAAGATATATTTATTACCATCAGAACCCAATGAAAGGTCTCACCTGTTTTCCTTTTTGGATAAGCACAGATGGTATGCCTTAAGTGAAACAAGAGTATGAATCTGCCCTGTTTGAAGAAAGAAAAACCTATTAATGCTTACTCTAATCCAGCTGATGCCGCATTCCTTTATTTGTAGAGTGGGCACGTTCATGTTGTTGGTTATGCAAAGCATATTTGCTGATCCTTAAGTTGCAGCACCCATTTTGAATATTTGATTTCTGAATATAATTACAGAGGTGAATATTGTATTAAAACCCCCAAAATTATACACTTGTACTACTCTCGAAAGTCTGCGGGTATCTGCAGATAAATGGTCATCTGAGACAGCGAAGAATTTGAGATGGCCTGAAGAAACCTTTAGATTGATATTCCTTGATACATGGGACACCGTACCCAAAGATGGGAAGTTCACTACTGCTCAGCATTAGTTTGGTCTGTTCCAAACAGACAAATAATGATCTTACTCCCTGAAACGCAAGAGCTGTGTTCATGCTGCACACTTGTGAAAACCTGGCCTGAAGTGGACAGAATTACTCTTTAAAAATGGGGTCTTGCTTGTGACAGTAAGCATCACTGCTTATTGGTTTTGTTTTGTTTTTCCCTAGAGCACAAGAGTGAAATTGCCCATCGCTACAATGATTTGAAGGAAGAGACATTTAAGGCAGTGTAAGTGAATGATCAGCTTACATTTTCTGATTGTTTTCCATCTCTATTAATATTGGACATGGATAAAAAAGGGAAACTAAAGCACACTGAATGTCTTCTCATACAAAGCCTACAGATGTTTTATGAGCCGCAAAAGTCATGATGACTTTCTTGTTCTCTGGGAACACCATCCCATGCAAACCTTATTAGGAAACTTGTGTTCCTCATGTATAAGGAAAATAGATGTGAATAAGACAGTTTTGGTAACCTTTGGATGGAGAGAAAAAGCTCTGGAATATTATATTACCAAAAAAACAAAAACAGACAAATAAACACCTCAAACCCCAAACTTCTGGCAGGTATTCTGAAACAATTCAATAGTTTTCTTCTGAAACAGATTTTGGGAATGGCAAAATAGGTAAGTTCTGTCAAAAAGTTATGAGTGGCAAACTAGTTCTTGCAGGAACAGAACCATTTTTAAAAGACAGCCTGCAGATCGTCACTTGTAACAATGGCAAAAAGAGCAGTATAAGTATACTGGCATGAAATTGGCAGAAAATTAAAATCACAGTCTTTTCCTTGATTATACCAATCTATTATTCAAAACATTCATTACTGGGGAGTAAAGGTCAAAAATATTTTACAGAAAGGAAATGAGAAGATCAAGAGTACAAGATCCATTACTATGATCTTCTTGCTGCTCTTTTTAAGTGTTTGAAGAAATTGTTTGAAGAAATAATTTTGTTATTTATATTTCTTATCTCCATATTGCAAAATATGCTTTCTGTTTCAGTGCCCTGATCACATTTGCCCAGTATCTCCAGAGGTGTTCTTATGATGGACTGTCAAAGCTTGTGAAGGATGTTGTTGATCTGGCACAAAAATGTGCGGCCAATGAAGATGCTCCTGAATGCTCAAAGTCACTGGTAGGCAGTGAATCCTTTGGTACTGTGTTTCACCTCATTCTATGCAGCTATCAAAGTCATCCTCACCCTGGTACCTATACTTTATCCTTTTGGGTATTCCTGTTGTCATCAGCCAATGCCAATCAGATTTTTGTGCTGAAGCAAAGAACTTGTTATGAAGTTCTGTCCTTCAGAAGTGCCACAATAATTAATGGAGCAACACTTTGGAGCCCAAAAAGCAGATTTCAGTACATGAAGTTTTGCATTGTCCACAAATACATGTTATTTGTTTGCTGACTGGAAAACATGTGATGCTAAGAATTACAGCAACCTAAGCATAGGGGTTTTAACATGAGGTATCTTGAAAAGATATCTGTGGTAATTCAACATACTCTAGTAAAATTTTTTGAAAAAAATTGCTAAGATCGGGTATCAAAAGATGTCTCCAGGTACATAAGATCCTTAGATACCTAGCAGGTTCAGCCAGGCCCTGAAGAAAGTTAGGTGCTAGTGCCCTTCTCAACTCCTATGTTCAAATCAAACATTATGACTACAGTAATTCTCCCTAAAGGCTTCCCAAGGTGATTGTCAAGTAGAACATCAAACCCTGCTTCGATTATTCTGAATTCCCTAGTCAGATTACAAGAAAAAATAGACCACTGTCTTGCATGCACTATTTAATTATAACTAATATAAATATATTTTCAGTAAACCATTCGAACTGTTTTTATACTGGACTACATAAAACAAAATTTTGTGAAATTGTATTGAAAGCAATGGATTATTCTGGTTTATGGTTTAAATATTGTCTGGTAAAAACTTACTTTTTTATCTGGGCTTTCTCTTGCAGGTAGATAGACAGTTCCTTACACTTTTTACATAATGTCTTTCTAGCAATAATTCTGACTCTCACCATCTCCCTTATAGCCTTCCATTATCCTTGATGAAATCTGCCAAGTGGAAAAGCTCCGTGACTCATATGGTGAAATGGCCGACTGCTGTAGCAAAGCTGATCCTGAAAGAAATGAGTGCTTCCTGTCGTTTAAAGTTACCCAACCAGACTTCATTCAGCCATACCAAAGACCAGCTTCTGATGTGATATGCAAGGAATACCAGGACCACAGAGGGCCATTTCTGGGATAGTAAGAAAAATGCTGCTGTTGCATTGTTTAAGTATTTAGCTAAAAGATCCCCAAGGTCTAGTGAGCGTGTGGGCATGAAAAAGTTGTAAACATGCAGTTGAATATTTACGTGCACAAAACAGCTGCTCAATCATTAAATATCTAAAGTTCTGATCACACTTTTTTCAGTCTATGCTGAGCAGATTTTTCCATTCAAAATGTGCTTTAAGGGATCACATTTTATAAATCCTTGAGGATATTTTGCAAAAAATAAATTTAAAAAAAACCTTCAGTTTTTCCAATATTAATGTAACAATTTACTTGCTCCAGTTTCCTACTACCTCTATTCTAACTGGAAAGGGTATGAAGAAAAATAAGAGTAAAGAGAATAAAGATTAACAATGAAATCCTGGGAAAACGGCCACATATTAATTTTTCATGCTCAAAATTAAAATTCTCAAATATTTGACAATGCATTTAAAACAAGCATACATACATCAAACAAAGTGGCTGAAGATACAAGGACTTCATAATTCCATCACTGTTAAGGAGTCCTGCTTTGGAAATGCTGAGATTTAGCTCAGCGTATACCATTAGTAGGCATTATACATACTAGAAGAGTACAATAGAAAAGTACATTAAATTTCTAAACTAGAAACAAAAGTTATAAAAGCCATAAAAGATTCAAATCCATTTACTGTTGCCACTGAAGTACATAACTTATGTTTTTCTTTTTCTTATAGTTTCATCTATTCTGTTGCAAGAAGAAACCCCTACATGTTTGCCCCTACAATCCTTAGTTTGGCTGCTGATTACGAACATGCACTTCAAAGCTGTTGCCAAGAGAGTGATATTGGTGCTTGCCTGGACGCCAAGGTAGGTCATATTTTTCACTGTGTGTGAAAGCAAAGTAGCTGCTACGTAAAGGTGAAGTGTAGACAGAAGGTGTGCTAACCAAAGAGGATCTAGAGAAGAACAGATCTCTCTCAACATGCAATTTCTACTCTCGACAGAAAGTTGTATGAGAGATTCCTCCCTTATTCCTTGCACAAGCAATTGAAAGAGAAAGAGTGAGAAACAGGTTGAATGTTCCTGCTTATGCAAATTTTTGTATGAAGTACTTGTAGAGAAGGATTAATCATACGTTAACCCTAGGATTATGATCAGATTACTTCCGTATAGCTTTGCTTTTTAGAGAACTGTACACGAGATTTCATATTTAGCATGAGTCAAATTTTCCCTTTGTCTGTCTCAAAACTCCCCCCCAGTGACTTCCGCATGATCTATAGCGGGGTGCGGGGTAGGACGAGGTGACCTTAAAGGTCCCTTCCCACTTAAACCATTCTATGATTCTATGATTATGTGAATTGTACTATGTCTTAAGACATAGTAAATATGTCTGTGAAGCTAGATGCTGGACTGCATAGTTAGAGTTGCCTGAAGAATCCCCAGTTTGCTTGGCTTTCTATAAGAGCTAACTGGATAAGAATCTTTTGTGTTTCTGAAATGGAATTTTTAGATTTGCCTTTTTCTCATTCCATTAAATGTCAGCCTAATGTGACACTGTGCCTCCTGTTACTACAGGAAAATGTCATGAAAGAAAAAGCCAAGAAAATAAGCATAAAGCACCAATATTCTTGTGGAATCTTCAAGAAGTTCGGAGATAGAGTTTTCCAAGCACAGTAAGTTCCAATCAGTGTTTCACAAAAAGAGGGCTTGTTGACTTAAGTCTGCAATGACTCACAAGGAAAATACCAGCATATATATTTTGCTTCTATATACTTACTTTGAAAATTGTAGTCATGGTACTTTCTTGCTTACTTCGGCTGAGAACTGTTGAGATTAGAAAGTCAGTCTTTCCAGTCTACACCTCCAGTGATTTCTTTTTCAACTTTTAGATGTAAAATCTAGTTCAAATAAGGTTTCTGCATAAAGAGTTGATGCAGAGTAGAACCTGTGTATTCCAAGTGGATGGTGAGCAGTAGTAAAAAAAACGTCAGCCACACAAATTACAAAGAAATGAAATCGTTCCTAGAATCAATACAAAAGATGTGGAGTTATGTGAGAAAGTATCACTCAGAACCAGTGTGTTCCAGTGTGTTTAACCTACATTTTTTGCCAAGTTTACAACCGTTCTGATGTCTGTAGCTTTTAGCAATAGGCACATAAGAAACTAAGCTGAGAGCAGTCAAATTTGGCAGAATCACAGTTCTTGGCTACAGCACATTTTTAAGATTAAGAAAGACTTTTGCAGTTAAAAAATGAATCACCTGCTTTACTACAGAGAACTTTAACTCCGTGGACAACATACTAAAATCTGATATGTAAAATGTTTGTAATTATCTAAAGGGAGGTGGGAAGCAAACTGATGAGGCCAGGCTCTTCTCAGTGGTGTATAATAACAGAACAAGGAGTAAGAGCCTAAAACTTGAACATAGGAAGTTCCACATGAATAACATGGAGAAGAACCTCTGAAGGCGACAGAGCACAGGAACAGGTTGCTGAGAGGTTGTGAAATCTCCTTATGAGGAGATATTCAAGAGCCAGCTGGACGCCTACCTGTTTGACCTATTACAGAGTACCTGCTTTAGCAGGGAGGTTGGACTCAATCACTTCTTGAGGTCCCTTCCAACTTCTGCAATTGTGTGATAAAATTTTCTAGGACAACCTGACTAGATGTAGCCAACTTTTATTTAAAAGTTCAATTGATTGTAAGTCTCTGCTTAGTAATATAGAGATGTTTTACAGTCATTCAAAATAGATAGGAAACAGCAGAGATCGATTCTTACATAGACAGATCAGATCAGAAGTACAAATTACAAAGCCTTGTTTTCTGGACAATTAAATCTAGGTGAGAGCACTGCTGATCTACAGTATTATATTTGTGACTTGCAACTTCCTGTTCAATGTGGAGCTTTGAGTCAAGTGTATTCATCTTTTCTATCTAGAAAACTTGCTCGCCTAAGCCAAAAATACCCCAAGGCTCCATTCTCAGAAGTTTCTAAACTTGTACGTGAGTCCAAGGAGATCGAAAAAGAGTGCTGTGCAGGGGACATGGTGGAGTGCATGGATGACATGGTAAGCTCAGTATTCTTCAGAAAGTACTTAAATACATGAAAAACAATAGGAAGAAAATTTCAGCAGCTATTCAGAGTCCAAGCAGCTTGTATTCGACACTGCCAAAAGGTTCCTCAGCCACTAGAATACAGCTGGAATGGTTATTAATGGAAACAGATTCTATACCACTTCTAAGTCTAGCTCTTTATGATCACGAGGACAAGGACTGGTTGCAGACACGGTAGCACAGGTATTTGGTTAAAATAAAAACATTTACTATGGGACTTGTTTGATGACATTTACTCCAATTCCATTGTAAACAGAGCAAAAGAAATCAGAGGCAAAAAGGCCAGAAATTCTTTGCAGCTCTGATGTGTATACTGCCATTAATCCAGCTTTCCTGTATTGCAACAAATTCTGCAGGACAGCTCAATCAAGAGAATTTGCAAAACTGCAGTAGTAGCGTTACCTAAATACTGCCAGCCCAGCTGGAAATTAGACATATTTCTTAAACCTACAACCAGTTTGTGTCCTGGGCTGGCTCCATGAAATCCTAGAGCTTTTAATGTTTTGTCTTCTGTCAGAGCTGCCCATGTGACAGGATTGAAGAGATCAGTCAGTCACCCTTGTGACAGTCTCAGTGGCTTTCACTGCCTTTCCAGAGATTGTCTTCTCAAAGGTTCTAAGATCAGAGAGGGAACCTTATTCTTCCTCGCACCTGAGAACAACACGTTCTACATACACAGGAAAATGCCAGTCCCTAAAATTATTTCGTCTCCTATGGAGACAACACTTGTTTAGGAAACTGCGCAGTAAATAAGTAACCTGAATGAAAAGAGAGGAATCTGAAAGAGAGAAGAGTTGAATTAATATGTCTTTGAATTATTACTTCATAGCTTGCCTGAGGCTATGTTTTAATTTTACAGGCAGAGGTCATGAACAATATGTGCTCTAAACAAGATGTTTTCTCAAGTAAAATCAAAGGCTGCTGTGAGAAGCCTATTATGGAACGAGGCCAGTGTATTATAGATGCAGAATTTGATGAGAAACCTGCAGATCTTCCCTCATTAGCTGAAAAATACATACAAGATAAGGAATTGTGTAAAAGTTTTGAAGCAGGCCATGATGCATTCTTGTCAGAGTAAGTAGTCCCAACTTTACACATGCTTGTACCTGAACATTCTTCTAAATTATTTGTTCTCATTTCTGGACCTTTTGCACCATAAGGGAAAAAAAAACAAAACAACACAACAAAAACCTGTCCTCTTGGGTGTTTCAAGTGTGCATGGAGAAAAGAGGTTACGATTACCATATGGAAATCCAGTGGGACAGATGTAACTTCAGTCCTAGTTTCTCATTCATGCTTTGTGACTGTTCCTCTTCAGCATTGCACTACTTATTAAGGCTGAACTGATCATTGCTTTTCCTTTATTCAGAGTTTCTGTTCAGGTCCACATGCATTATCTGCTTAAGAAGCATTCTGTCCTAGGAAAGCTATTCTATTCCTCTTATATTTGTCCTGTTGGCAGTCAACAGAGTGGTCCAAAACATTATATGAAAAGGAAGTGTTCACCTTACATGATCTCATCTGAGGGACTGTCATTGTTGATTACTATGTTGTACTTGTGGAAAGCAGCATGATATTCAGGAGCTCTAATGCTGTCAGCTCATGTGTCTTTCAGATTTGTTTATGAATACGCACGAAGACACCCTGAGTTCTCCACACAGCTGATTCTGAGAGTTGCCAAAGGATTTGAATCACTCCTGGAAAAGTGCTGCAAATCTGATAACCCTCCTGAGTGCTACGCAAATGCTGTAAGTGCAGTGTTTTGTCTGCATGTAATTAAAATGCTTGCCTGATACCTATAATGAAGCAATTTAATAAAAGAGCAGATAGAAAGCATTTTGAGAGACTAATCCCCAGGAGAAGTTAGTATTCTGATGGGACACAAAGTAGTCCAGATCCCATGACAACATTATAAAGTGATCTCAGAACTCCACTGGTCACCCTCAAAACTTCAGACTAGTTTCACTCAATTTCCTGATGCCTCTGACTCTCAAAAGTGGTACTGCTTGTCCTAAATAAGTTAATTAATAGCTAGTTAGCCAAATTAACCTGTTCTCCTGTTTATACTGAGTAGCTAGTCACTGATTATGATAGAAACTTGCATGGTCAGCTCACATAGAAAATCCTAAGTTTTGGTCTCCTGACCTTGAATTTAATCATCTGCAAATCACATCAGAATTTGATTCAATGGGAGCTTTGGCCCAGCTACAGAAAGAAGATGTTCCCTCTCACAGCTGATTGCCTTGCATTTTAGAAATAGTCACTTGATTTTAAGAATATAGACGACAAATCTCTAACAGAGGAGATGAGACAAATATTCTCTAAGAAGCAGATCCAATGGATAATTAAATTTCAAAAATCTTCCTGCCATTTTAATTACATTTCTGTTAGAACTGAATTCTCCTATGTGAATCAAGGACCCTTACTCCAGAGGAACTCAAAACAAATGGACTTTGACTTTGCGTAACAGGTATTTTAGAGCTAGCAAGCTTTAGAAGAGACCGAAAACTCTATCTGCACAATTGTTACCAGGATGTTCTCTACTGTTACTGATAAACGTATACTTGTTTACAGAAAGAACAACTGGACCAACATATCAAAGAAACGCAGGATGTTGTGAAGAAGAACTGTGATCTTCTCAGTGCCCATGGCGAGCGAGACTTCTTCAAGTCGTAAGTACTTTCTGATAAGTACTTCTTCCATGTAAGCAATTATTATTCTGGCTGCATTGGGAGTATGTATTCAGACTTTTCAGGTCTAGTTCAGTAGAACATTCTTCAGATGTGAGTGAATAGTCATTCTGTTGTGCTTTTTCAGCATCCTGATCCGCTACACTAAGAAAATGCCTCAAGCACCCACTGAAGCCTTGCTTAAAATTGGAAAGAAAATGACAGATATCGGTACTAAGTGCTGCCAGCTTTCTGAAGACAGACGCATGGCTTGTTCTGAGGGTTATGTGAGTACACTTGTTTATTTTCCTTATTTCTCTTTGAGATTTTTTCTGTTCTCAAAACCATTGAATTCTGGTGAGGTAGTAAGCTGACACTTAATTTTCATAGCCCTGAAGCTAATTATCTACGTAACAGAATTGAAAACTCACTCATTTTTAATGAATGTGAGAACCTAAATTGCTCCCTCAGATTGGAAGCTTTGAAAATTTTAGCTGAACTTGGAAAGCAAAATTCAGTTGATTGAGTCCGTAGGAACTCATGTTTGGAAAAGCTGAAGAGTCTCTTAAAAGAAAACTGTGCTTAACAGTTGTAACCAAACGGCCAGACTACAGATTAAGAAATCCCTGACTCAAGAAACACACATTTCATTTCAGACTTTAAGACCATGCCATTTCTGAGCGGGAGTTTAGTTTGGAGATCTTCCACTTCTAGGCATCCTGTTTTGACACAAACAAACATCACACATTTCTTCTGTTATTATAGAATGCTTAACATGTTTGCACTTCTTTCGTTTTCAGCTGAGCATGGTGATTAATGATATGTGCAGGAAACAGGAGACCACACCGATAAATGACAACGTTTCACACTGCTGCAGCGAGTCCTATTCTAACAGGAGACCATGTTTCACTGCTATGGGAGTAGATACCAAATATGTTCCTCCACCATTTAATCCCGATATGTTCAGCTTTGATGAAAAACTGTGCAGCGCTCCTGCTGAAGAACGAGAATTAGGCCAGATGAAGTAAGCTAAAGGAAATACCTTGTAGAAGATATTTGAAGGTGTAACATGTTAGCAGGGACACAAGTATGCTGCAAAAACACTCACTTTTTGCCTAACTGGGAATTCACTGGTGGTAAAGAAAACCAGATGAAACTGTGTGTTTGTACTGACCGTGTCAGTGCACAACATCATGTAGATGAGAAGAGGCAAAATGAGGTATTTTCTTCAAATGAAATTAGGGTCTTAGATGACCAGTTTTGTGTAAGCCCATTACCAGTGCAAGTCTTAGGATGTACTTAGTTAAGGCAGCATACAGATCATTCCAGTAAGTTCTTTCCCATCTGTATTTGAAAAAAAAAAAGGAAAAAGAAAAAGCAGCAGATGGTGGTGTTAGACTGAGAGTTTGGAGACAAAAAACAGGCACAAGCTACCCTAGACATGGCAAAAAGCCCCTTAAATGAAATATATCTGCATGGAATGACATTTTTTAAAACTCCATTTAAAAAAAAAATAAATGTCAACAGGTAGCATTAACTGTATATTGTGGTTTTGTTTTCAGATTGCTTGTCAACCTCATTAAACGCAAGCCCCAGATGACAGAAGAACAAATAAAGACAATTGCTGATGGTTTCACTGCCATGGTTGACAAGTGCTGCAAGCAGTCAGACATCAATACATGCTTTGGAGAAGAGGTACTTCCTATGTCCTTTCAAAAAATAAAAATTAAAAAAGTATACAGGGAACTGAAAACTCATTAGGAAACCATCCAGTACAGGACTCTGCAGCCTACAGTGTTTGGTGTCTGTATGCTCTCGCAATAAATTTGCCTGCAGAACTTAGAATACATCTTAACAGAACATATAATGGTCACAGGTTATAGTCCTTGAATAATTTCATTTGGAAATGTTGTTTGGAAGTAATTTAGTCCAATCCTCCTCTTAAAGCAGAGAAAACTTCTGGATTAGATAAGGTTGTTGAGAGACTTCTTTGAAAGAGCATGTTACCTACAAGCCACAGTTGAAAATTGTGTTTGTGTAGAGTTTAAACCATATCTCTAGCATGCGTAAACTGCCTTTTGTGCAACAGACACTGATAGAACGCTAATGATTGCCAGTGAAGAATGCATCTGGGTCAGTTATCAGAGATATCTAGAAAAAACAGACATAGTGGTAGGGGGAATCCAGCTGATTATGTTCTATGAACAATCACTCCATTTTTTTCTGCTACATGAACCACAAACACAGCTGTTCATTCATTGTTTACTCTTCCCTGTAGTAATGTACTGTACTCCCTGTACTACAGGAGAAGCCTATCTGTAGCCATATTGTTGAGTAAGCTCAAAGCATTTGCAGGAAGTATAAATTGTCAGTTTACAGAGAGCAATCTTTGTCACTGGAAGCATTAACAGATCTGTACTACTGGTATCTTTAACTACTTACTGAACCAACTATTTTTCACCTATAACCAAAGTATTGCATAGGCAAATATATTAGATCTTGAAAGAAACTACTTTGTAATTCACTCTAAAAGAGTATTTTCTACCTTCACAAGATTGAAAAATATCCATCATACAAGAGTGCACGGCTTCTGAGGCTAGAAAATATCATGAGAATTATCCTTTGAGCCAAAGCTCAGACTTGGGTTGAAGTTCATAGAAGTTTCCACTCAAAATGCTACCAATGATGCTGCCTTTGTTTCTCTTTCACAACTGTTGGTCCTCCTTTTTTTTAGGGTGCCAACCTAATAGTCCAGAGCAGAGCGACGTTAGGAATTGGTGTTTAAGACACGGTAGGTAACAGTATCTATCTCTTTCTCCCCATCCTTTCACCTATTTAACTGCTTCAAATTAAAAAAAAACAGAACAAAACAAAACAAAACAATCAAACAAAAAAAACGTACCTAGCTTCCATTTCACCATCATGCTTTTTCAGTGGGTGGCCTAAAATCTATTGTTATATAGCATATGAAGAGTTGAAATATTACTAGAATGATATTGGTTTACAAAATAACCCTTTTTTTTCTTCCTTTTCTTCCCTTCTCTCCCCCTCAAATCCCATCTAGGTTGCCAGTGAGAAAAATACAAAGATAAAATGCTTCTCCTGCCCATTACCTTTTTTCCCTTGTTATTGAATCATGGTTTCGTAAATCTTCAGTGTTTTGTCAAACAATATGCTTTTCCAGAAACTTTTCAATTCTATTACATGCAAAAAAAAAAAAAAAAAAATAGAATAATAAATAAAAGCTTTTTAAATCTGCATTAGTCTCAGTCTGGTGATAACTGCCCAAAGGCAAAGAATGACAGCACTCCTTACACAAGATGGTTGCTACAGCTGTATATATGGACAGGCGTTCTATTGTTTTCTCTTGTAAAGTACTCACATCACACAAATCTAACAGTATGAAAGCTGGTGTGATATTTAGTAGACCTTAATTCTCTGACTCAATTACAGGAACATTTCACTTTTCACTTCAGTGGTTATTACACAGTAAGACAATGTTCAAAAGCACAGTTCACTCTAAGATGGTTAGCAGCGTTCACTTGAAAAAAATAAAATAAAATAATGCATATACATCAAGCATCTCTTTGCTTGCAAAGAGCTGCAGAGTTAGCTACTTTTAGACACTTCTGTTTATGCCTTCCATTCTTTTCAAAACAGATTTTGACTTCAGAGATGCCTTTTGAGAAGCCAACAATCAAAATAATGTCCTTCACTGCAGGAAGTTCCTAACAGAGAACTTCCATGTCACTAAAGCACCATGATTTTCTATCACATAATTAGTTTCAGTCCACAAATACCCCCCAAAAAACCCCAAATCTTCTACACTTAAATGTGGGATGGTGGGATTGTTTTTGCTTTGATCCCTCACATAATAAAGCATTGCGTACAGACAGTTACCTTGGCCTTGAAATTTTGTGACTCTAGTTCATGAACCAGCAGTCTTCTCCAGAACCACAGAAGTACACTCAGCATGAAACAGAGATATGGAGTTGAAAATGTACAAGGAAGAATCCATGAATCTAGATATGACTAAAAGGCTTGGACTTTCAATGAATCAGTCATAGTTATGCATTGTTTTTGAATAATTTATATGACCTCAGGGTATTCATAAACATCTAAAGAGATGGATAGCAAACCTGAGCAAGAATCATTCACCAGCAGCAGTTAAGTGCTTTTTCCCTTCATCATTCTCTGGTGTAAGGGAGCACAGTCATTATAAAGGCCATTCTTGTTATCTAATTCACCATCCAAAAATCTGAGTCTTTCACTGCAATTGAGAGGAACCTCCTCTAGGACAGCACAGCTGTAGTTAATTAGACCAAGATAAGCTTGTACAAAAAAGAATCCAGCTAGGATTCTGGAGCAAAGAAATCAGCTCTAGCTCCATGAGACTATCAAGAGACTTCTCAATAGATTGCCAGTCTTTGCCAAAACTCTGACCATATCACAACCTGTTCTTATATGTGCTGGTTAGCTCACAGCTATATCTAATAGGTCTTTTCAGCTACTACAATCATTTCAAAAACAAAGCAACTTAATAAATCTGTAAGATTTAGTAATGAAGAATGTTTTTTTAGTTAATGTTCCAGCAATTTTGCTGGCTCCAGAGAGATACAGCATTTGTATATGTGATTTCCCAGGTGTGTTTATCAATGCTGAAAAGAGCTGTGTCAAGATAACAAAGTTAAACATGTAAAAAAAATATATGAAAGGATGGGTTGACCTCTGCCTGTAGTAGGACAAGTTATGGGAATTCATCAATTTCTCTTTTGTATGTTAAAGCATCTGTCAGTTTATAGAGAAAGAGTAACACAGATGTGTTGATGTGGCTTAAAAATTATTTCTTAACAGCTTTTGCTCCCATGCTGAGTAATTTTCCTTTATTCGTGGAATATAATGAAACTGAGCTTACATAATAATTCTTTTGCACTTTTGTGGTTTCCCAGAAGTGATGTATTTTTGTCTATCTTTTTCCCTGTCTGAGTGTAGAAGGTAGAAAAATCAAGCACAGATGCAGCTCTAAGACCAGACTGCAAAAATATTCTTCAATGGCCTAAGTGTCTCATAAAGAGGTTGAGAAACCTCCTTGATCACCTGGAACACATTTAGGTTTCTGGAACCAAACTATGACTTCAAGTTTCAGAAGGGCCAACTATTACCGTAACTCTCAACACACCTGTGACTCATTTTTATGCAGCAGATTTTCATAATATCACAGAATCACCAAGGTTGGAAAAGACCTAAAAGATCATCCAGTCCAACCGTTCACCTATTCCCAATAGCTCTCACTAAACCATGTCCCTCAACACAACATCCAGCCTTTCCTTGAACACCCCCAGTGTCGGTGATTCCACCACCTCCCTGGGCAGTCCATTCCAGTGCCTGACCACCCTTTCCGAAGGGTGGTCAGGCACCCTTTTTTTGTGTGTTAGGTTATCTCAGAAGCCTTGTCACTCTGATATTCCTCCTCCTTGAAAACTACACAAGTATTCCTGAATACTCAATAGAAAACAAACAAAAAACCCGAAAGCAAATAAACACACCAACTTGTAGGCCATAACAGAGTTTCGGAAGGCCTATCTCCTTGTCTACGGACACTGAGTTTGCAATATTACGCCATATCAGCCTGAGCACCGCTGTGAACATCCACCTCTTGAAATTTAAAAAATGTAACAATTCTCATGCAGTTTTGCTGATGTACACTTGATGTGCCCTGGAGAGGCTAATGTCTGTTATGTCTGTCTAGATTTATTTATTTAAAAAAAAAAAAAAAAAAAAAAAAAAGCCTTCCAAAGGAAATGGAGTACCAGAAAACAACATAATACTGTGGTAATACACAAGAATCTAAAAGAACATGACCTCTGCAGAAACAAGTAATACAGGGAATTAGGGAATTACATACCTTGCTGTCTGCTCCTGTTCCTATGCCCTATTTGCTTAATCTTCCTGTTATAGCACAGTATAGTAAAGTGACACATAGTTGTAGCTTGTGATGTACTGTAAAACCTCAGTAAAACACAAGCTAATTCTTAATTTCACCACTTTCACTTCTTTATAGCCCATCTCTTTTTCATACACCATCTATAAAGGTTAGTAAAGCCATGACCATTCAACCTCTAATACTCATAATGACTATTTCTTCAAATCAAGTTTTCTTTCAAAAAACCTGATAGCAAAAACGTGCATTCTTTACACGGGAAACTTTAGAGATCATCATCCATTAACAATAATTAACAGAAACCTTCTCTGAATTATTTACAATGTTTAAATTTCACATGCTAAGACAACCTACCATTTGCAGTGCAAAGATGATTTTCAAGAAGTTTTCTAAAGATTTCAGAGTAACAACAAGATCCAGAAGTTGGAAATTATACTCTTCTGGTGGTTAAGAAAGAGTCTTTCATCTTCTGTTCTAAGATAAAAGACTATATCCATTTCCTTCTGCCTTCTCCTTCAGTCTTTAATTCCTTCAGCTGACCACATGTCCCTTGCATTCATCAGGCTCCCAGCTCCCCAAAACCTCCTCATTTTCTTCATCTCTGAATTATTCAGCCATTTCCTCCTGTCCATACCTATACCACACTCTAAATCATAAATTGACAGCTGTCTTTTATTACACTGCATACTGGCACTCACCTTTTAAAGGCACTCTATAAGATGTTGTCATCTCTTGGCCAAGGCATTTCCCTGTTGGGGCTTGATTTCTCACAGTTCATCTGAGGTTGATGGAATGCCCTCCTCTTCTTAGCCCCAGCTGCTCTGCATTCAGTCTCAGTGTTTGAGAACTAGTATTAGTATTGTGATTCTGGAGTTCCTCTTGGAAGACCGTGGGCTCCAGCCTTAATATTTGGAAAGTCCTTTAATGCATGCCTCAACTTGCCCTTGAGCATTCTAAATCATATTGATTTTTGAGAAAACTTTTATCAAGGTCATGACAAGGAAAACAGATAAATGATCAAGAAGCAAGAATGTTCTTCTAACCCTCCACAGCAGCTTACGATGCTGATCTTGCATTACTCAGCCCTATTAAAAATGCAGTAGAGTGTATCCAAGGCTTTGCAATGGGCAGTAGCTTTGGACCAGTGCACACTTCTAATTTTCAAAAAATTTCTTTTGATCACCCTACTGTTTTCATGCTCTTATATACATATGAGAAAACATTTGACAGCATTACACCAAAAATGTGCGAAGTCTAGGTGCTTTTGATGGTACACAAGAAATTCCACTAACATCTTCAGGTCTACTAATATCTTTGATACAAATCTTTATCATCTTTTTGCCCTAGTTACCTCCTATTAAGGATAGTGCTTGACTTTTCTACTTCAAATGTACTTTTTGGGTAAACATGAATAAGTATATAGGTAATCAATGCTAAGTGACTTTATTTATTTTCTTTGATAGTTACTAACTCATGCTTTGTCTTTTTCCAAAGACCTGAGAATGTTTTTTCTGCAACCAGGACTAGTAAACTGGATTTCATCCAGCATAAAACTACGCGTCACTAGTACTGGTATGAAAATACACACAGTTCAAAGGTCACACCAAGTTATATTTTAAAGGCAGACTTGTAAGCCAGAATCTTAACGGATCCATGTACCAGGGCAAAGCAAAAATCTGAATTTGCAAGTTGCTTTCAAAGTACTCTGGTCAAAATCATAAACCCAGTATGTAACTTTGTCACATTTCCTTTCAGCAAAAGTGACTGCAGTTTAGAAGCGTCATTCATGGCTAATGGAAATGTACATTTGTGTGAGTAACTGAATTAATGGCACAGGCTGCCCAGGGGAGCAGTGTGGTCACCATCCCTGGAGGTGCTCGAGACGCATGGAGATGAGGCACTGAGGGACATAAAATCATAGAATCACAAGGTTGGAAACGACCTGCAAGATCATCTAGTCCAACCGTCATTACCATTGCCACCACAAGCACTAAACCATATCACGCAGCACGTCATCCAGACGCCTCTTGAACACTGCCAGGGACGGCGACTCCACCACCTCCCTGGGCAGCCCTTCCAGTGCCTGACCACTCTCTGAGAGGAAAAGTTCTTCCTTATGTCCAACCTAAACCTCCTCTGATACAACTTGCGGCCATTACCCCGTGTCCTGCTTGTTGCCCGGGAGAAGAGGCCAAATCTCTCTCCACCACAACCTCCCTTCAGGAAGTTGTAGAGGGCAATGAGGTCTCTCCTGAGCCTCCTCTTCTCCAGACTGAACAATCCCAGCTCCCTCAGCCGCTCCTCATAAGACTTGTGCTC